ATCACCAAGTAATGTATGAGGATAACGTTGTAATGTTGATGCACGTGTTTCAAAACGTAAACCACTTACATTTATTATGACTTTATCAAATGGTTCATTTCCTAATGGTTGATTCTTCTTATTATTAATTGTATCATTTTGATCTATTGTTAATTTTCGATGTTTTGTGTAATGATGACTATGACGATGACTGTGTTTTCCGCTACTATTTGAACTTGCTCTATGTGACGACATTAGATTCAATTCATCAGTTGTAGACGAATAACAATCCCTATCATGAGCGGATGATGTTGGACACTCGTCAATAGGATTATTTATTAAATGTCCAATTGTCGATGATGATGAAGGTACAGCATCGGTTAAAATTGGTGGCTTATAAAGTCCTCCATTGCCTATTCTATTGAAATCCATACTTCATGTTGCTTTATTTCTCATATTATTAATTGCATAGTTATTTAATAACTAAGAGAAAAAAACAAATAATTATATATATATAGATAGACACCCTAAGACATATTAAGAAAAAAAAGAAACTCTTTTTATTCATCAATATATTTCTTTTCTATCGTTAAGACTAAATATTTTTCTTTCATCAATCGAATATAATGTATTTGTTCAAGCGTATAGGATTTTGTATTCATAAAAACAAAAAGAATTTTTTTTTTCTTAATGATCATTCGTGCTTGCGATAAAAGAAATAAAACTGAATGACGCTAAACTTTAGCAAAAAAGAAACAACATCATCATCAACGTCCTTGACTAGTTTATCGGGTCTAGCTCTCTCAACTAACATATAAGATATAAAACGAAGTATCAGCATGTCATTTTACTATGTATGCTTATTAACACAATACATGCATAGAGCTGTTCTATTCTAGATAGTAACATGCATATCTCGATGTACAAAACAGATTGCTTATTTTTGTTATAGATTTTCTGCAATAATATGATGATTATCGAAACATGCAAGCTCAATATCAATCAAAAAATGTAGAAAATCAAAAAGAAATCATGCAATAAATTGACAAAAATATATCATGCAAAATTAAATCATACAGTTATTGCATATTCGAACAAGCTCTGATAACTAATTTAAAAAGAAAGAGATATCGAGAAAAGCTTTGTTTCTACTATTTTTCTCTCACATATTTTTCTTTCATATTCGATGAGAAAAAGAATTCTCATATCGTCTGTATTTATTAGTTGTCGTCCAACAATAAATGTCTATAATGATCTCTTATTCTCTTTTTTTTTCTTCTTTTGGCCTTGTAAATATCTCATCAATTTATATATCTGTATCTATTTATCTGTTCACTATACAACAAGTTGTTTTTGCTTCTCTTTATGTTCTGTACATGCATATCATCTAACTTGTTTGTTGTCATTTCGAATTTATCCAATAAGTCTCTAAATTAAATTAGAAATATGTTAGGCGAACTTAGAAAACAAAATTAACTCTTCTTAATACTGCTTGTCAATTTGATAGATCAAATTGAATTTTCTAAGACTTTATAGATACGATCGCAAGTATGATTTGCGTAGTATAGAATCAATAGATTGGCACAACTAATTATGTAAATTTCTGAATAGATTTTCTTATTATAGTCGAAAAAAGGATTCACAAAATAAAAAGAGAAGATATGTCAGCTTTGTTTGTATATCAAAAAAAAAAGGAGAAGCTATCTACTTGACTTGCTCGTTGTCAGAAGTCAATTTGCGGCCAATGGTTAAGAACTTTGATTCATACAATTGATTGAGTTAGACTTGATATTGAGCGATTTTTTTTTAAATGATTCTAAAAGTGTGGATAATATAAATCATTAAACCATTATATTTTCGCGTTTTTTCTTAATAATTATGCAACTTTGATAAGGAAATTAATAAAAGATCAGTGATGTCTAGAACGAAAAAATAACGATTTCTTCAGAATAAAATTCGTTCTATATTAAAAGGAACTTTTAGAAAACAGAGTATCTACGCATACCATTATAACAATTTAATCAGAAAATAACAGATGATAGTGATTTTTTTTTTATTTTACAGAAAATCACATCAATGACATAGAAAGATATTTCTAGAAAAATGTTAAAAGAAGAAGAAACAAGGAGAACAGAAGTGCCATGCGACTTAGTTAAGAAAAAAAAAAGTTGCTTTTATTTTCTATGGTACAAGAGAAAACGAGAGAGAGAAAGAGTAACAGAGAGAGAGAGGAACAGAAAGCAGAATTGGAAATACAAATGTTTATTATGCTATACGAATATTTTCTTTACTATCTTTCTTCTGCATTAACCGGCATCTACGAACCTATTGTCTGTTCGTCGTCGAGAATGTCTTATAGAACGCTTTGCACATGCTTTTTCTCTCTGTCTCTATCGTCTGAATACCTCTCTTAGACCGATGAAATGCAAAATCCGACTGCGTGTTCTATGATAATAGTAATAGTAAGTTAGGCTAGGGGGAGGCGAAAATAATAGTAAAGGAAGTATGCAAAAAAAACGAGAAAATGAGAGAGAGAAAAAAAAAAGAAACAGCCTGATGGATGTAATACTTATAAATTATTGCCAATTCTATATAACGAATTCAAGGTGTTAATCTAGTTTACATAATGATGACAACTTGTCTCATATCATTAGCATTTTTGACAGTTCAGCGAAAAAAAAATGTACCATAATATTCATGTCATAAGTCTAAGATTGCTTATTGGTATGTTGAAAATATTCAAATCATAGAAGAATAAAACGATATTTATATGAAACAAAAAAAAAAAGATCAATCATTTCAGAGAGAATATTTAGAAAAGACAAATTCCTTTTCTTATAAGAATTTGTACTATTTATAGAAAATTATTCATATGATACTTTCTTTATTATTAGTTTTATTATTAACTAAATATAATAATTAAACATTGAATATTAATGAATTCCTTTAATATGAAAATCACATCAGTATATTAAATAAATTATCTGTTTACCATATACAGTAGACTTTATATTGTTCGATAGGGGGGAATGAATAAAAAACGTTCAAATGATTAATATAGACAATAGAATTCATTGGAGATTTTGATGTGTATGCTTGAGATTTGTCTAGATAGAATTTCACAATAAATATAATTCATTTTTCTCATATTAATTTTAATGAAAAATGATTGATTAAGTTGGATTTATAAATGTGTTAGTTTATTGATCATATATCAGCAATTATTTTTGTCTTGTAATGATCACTCAATGAAATTTTTATCTCAAGTATATCATGATCAATATAAATTATTTACAATCTCTATTGGTAATTAAAGATATCTTGTTGAATATATTAAATTAATGTGTTCTTATGTCATTTTTTTTCCAAATTTTATTAATTAAATATGAATTTAGACGCGATCAGTTTCGGATGCGAATCAAACTTCACTAGACATGATTTAATCGATGATTGAATTCCTTTTTTTGTTGTATGTCGCAAAAACAAAATAAAATAATTATTGATCGAAAACATGATGAATGTGTAGGACTTATCGGGTCATTAATACACTCTCAAGCTATCTGAAAAGCGTATGTACAATGTGTAGAGTGAATTATTTATTGATTATTTATTCCAAAGGTTCCCAAATATGGTTTCTGTAAACATGATTTTTTTCTCAATAGTAAACAATTATATAATTAGAGGTGTTCAATTGAATTAAATTCATAGCAATTTATTCAGAATACACCATAGTTGATAAGAAATTTTTATATTACTAAACATTATAATTATGTATAAAATAATTTTTCTTTGGAAAATCTTGCCAATGATTATGAAGGTCAGCAAAACTTCAACTGTCAATGTTGAATAAGAAGAACATGATTAATCTTTCCGCTCTTCATCGACAGATGACGGATTCAAATTAATAATGAAAAGAAGAGCTTTTTTGCCATGAAAGAAGATAGAACATAATTAAAATGCTTTTATTCTAAACAAGAAATTCTCAGCTTTTCTATTAAAGAAGCGTCTGTCATGTCTATTTCTCAAAGAAAAGATTATCTCATTTCCTGATTGTCATTATTTGCGTCGAGAACTGCAAAGTTTTGTGCTCGATACTTCGAAACACAGTGGACACAGATCGCGTAATAATCATTGTCACTGTAAATATCGCCATATGTCATGAGAAAGGAATTTCTCTAGCACATCTGTTACTGGGTGTGACAAATTCCAACAGTCATTAATCCCTGTACTTTATAGAAAATAATATACTTTTAAATTCTAATGAATTTGTCTTTAAAATATTACTTTATAATACAAGAGTTATCATATTAAATTGAAATATGATATTATAAGAACAATGCTTTCAATAGAATTATAGTTGCAAAAAAGCAGATCTCGTATGAAAAGTATTTTTCCAGCATGTAGTTGATTAGAAAAAAAGAAGATTTCTTATGCTCGATTTACTCATAGTCTAGTAATATATTCTTTATATACTTGATTAAACTTTTCGAAAGCTAATATGAGAAAAAAAATACAACGATAAATAAATAACCAATAGATTTGATGAAGCTGATTGGTATTTTTAGAAATAAAGATATTCTTTGTGGTTTTTTTCTACATACGCTTTTTTTAATGACAAGGAAATCCCCTTGAATATCATAATTGATATGTATTCTATCTGACATCCACGTTTTCCTTCCGTATATTACTCAAGCGTCAATTCACTCATATTTGTTCTGTATGTATCCAAAGTAACGTAGGAATGTTGATATATTCTGATGATTTCTTCTGCCCTTCTTTTCTTTTTCGTTACTCGTTATATCTAAAAGAATAGGGAAACAAGAAAGAAATCTATACAATCAGTCTACATAATTCTTCTATCCTTTTGTCGATCTATTGAATTAACAGAAAGAAGCTAGTTCGCTTGATTTGCTATATATTCGTATTAAACCTCGTTGTTGTATATACGTATATGTGTACATTAGAGTAAAAAGGACCAACTGTTTTCAATATCAACATTTGCAGATATATTTATTTCTAAGATGAATTCCCCAGTAACAATTCGTCTTGAACGTGAAAGAACTGATCAACAATGGGGTTTTCGTCTTCAAGGTTGAACATAAAATCTATTCTTTGTTTTCTTATTTTGCTAAGTGTCTATTCTATTTAGGCGGTAGTGATTTTCCTATCCCATTATCGATTCAACTGGTGTGTAGACAAATAAGATACAAAGCTATATGACCTTTTTTCTTTTGTTTTCTCCAAGGTCAATCCAAATACTCTAGCTCATATAAATGGTTTAAATGCAGGTGATCAAGTTATATCAATTAATGGTCGAAATGTGACTAATCTCACTCATCAAGATGCTAAAATGGAAATAACACGTTCCGGTAATGAACTTGAATTAACTATCATAAAGTACGGCTATCAATCATTATAATGAATATATTCTCATACATATTCATTATAGAGGAGCAGTTAATCAACAATCGATATCAACACCTCAATCGCTTTCACAAGTAAAAACAGGTTCTGTATATCAAATGCAAAGTTCACAAGTTGTGAAAACTAATTTTACTGTACCGAATCAAGTATTGAAAATAATCTTTTTATTTCAAAATAATAACTATAAAGATTCATTTTAAGCCTCAAACTCATCTTGGTAATAATCATAATCGAGCAGCGATGCAATACGATGAACCAACGGGTAATGAAATGACTTATCAAACAGGAAAATCAACGGATCGACAACTTATTATAAGAGGAATATTTAAATCTTTAGATAAATTCTGTTTTTAGGTGATTATACAAAAGAAACTCCTGAACATCTGCGTCCGAAAGTTTGTACGTTTTTTAACATTTTGTTAATATTTTCCTTCTCATATTTAATAACTTTAAGCAAATTTTGAATCATCACCAGCTTATAATCGTGATCCACTTCGTATGTGAACTTTTTTTTTTTTTTAGTATAGTTTTATGAAAATATTTAAATTTTTAGAACGTGAAATATGGAGACCAAAAGCATATCGTGACAATTCACAAGCTTCAGCTCGCCATATTGGTACAGCTGTTTATCATGCCCAATATAATTCTCCAATAGGACTTTATAGTGATGATAAAGTTCTAGAAGCATTTAAATCACAAACAGGAAATTTAATTGATGAAATTAAAGGGTATTATCTGAAACAAAATAGAACATTTTTTTGAATTTAAAAAAATAATTTTATTTTTGTTGTTAGAAATAATACTTCTCAATCAACAACGAATCATAATAATAGTATTCATAATCAACCATCACCTACATATCAAGCTGTAATGAATTGTGAACAACAAAAACATATGCCGTATTCATCTGAAGGAAAACTTTCTCGCTCATTTCGTGCTCTTGAACAAGATCTGTTGTCAGTTCAAGGTACATCCAAAGCACCTAAATCTATTTTCGATCAACGTCGTCAACAACAATAACGAGTTGATTTTCATAAGGTTAATCTATTTGATGAAGTATCATTGGCATAATAACGATGACCTTATCATATTGAATATCAAGATAAATATAGACAAAACATATGGATGACACCAATATCGAAGTAATACAAGTTTACTAAGCTATGTTTGTGTGCGTGTATGTAATGGTTATTTTGTGAGCTGCTCAGCTAATAATTTAGTCGTTACCTTTCTCATTTTCATATTCAATAATGTATATTCTTTTTTTAAATTTTTTACCTTGTCATGAATTGTGTGAAATAATGCAGTGTTTTATATTTGTATTATATTCATTTTCTTTTTATTGTTACCTACCACCAAATGTGTGTATGTTTTAATTAAATAGAATGATAGATAAAAATTTCTTCATGTATTTTAATCATTATAACATGTGTGCAAACTTTCGTCAAATTTCTTTTTAATTTTAATCATTGGAAAAAACAAGTTTCATTTTCCTTTTGACTGTTAAAAATTTGGGACCTAAAGATGGCTTTGGGCCATCAATATGTTGATCAAGACACAACGATAGATGGATTGTAAACGCTCGGCTTTTTTTAACATCGTTAACTTCTCTTAACATATTTCCATCTGAATAACGCTTAAAGCTACTCTCATGACAGACTTTCTATTCATTTATTGGCTTTATTGGTGTTTATCTTAGGACTTCTCACATATTTGACCTCTAAGCTGATCATATTGATAATGGTTGCTAGTGCCATCCTTACAAATGATCAGTGACATTGGTTTACAATTGCACCCTTATTAAATATCATAAGTTGGTTAATCAATGTCATAATATATCGATTAGTATAAATTATTTATTTAATTCTATTTCTGATAAACTAGCATGAATAACAATTCGAAAAAAAATTTTGGAGCTATGAAGTATAATCACAACAATATATATATATGTCGATTTTTTAATAATATTGGTGCTATAAATGTTCTTGAATATGACATACTTATTTTGAAACGAAAGGTTTCTTTTTAAACACGCAAGTTTTTGTGTATATTGTTGATGTAAAATATTCAATTATACCCATGAAATACATGTGTACACCATGCATTTTGATGATTAGTTTGATTCTTCAATTCTACTTTGTACAAATTTTCAAAAAAAAAAAAAACATTTTGTTTATAAGTAAACACATTTGATATAAAATACAATTTAATTATTTTTCTCATTTGTTAAAGGATTCTATTTTTTCCAGATTATTTAATTAGTTGTTATGTATTGTCCATGTTGTTTATTACTACAAATTAATAATGAACTCGAATATCAAGGACAATAACACAAATACATTAGAAAAAAAAAACAGCAGAAATACACCGGAATGTAAAAGAAAAGAAAAGATTCATCTGTTTTTTTTTCTAGTCACAATCATCGTCATTGATTATTTTTCGAACACATCTTTGTTCTTTATTAGTCATTTCTAATTTAAAACCAATATTACATACACATCGTCCAAATGATGTACAATGAGAATTTCTATCCATACTAATACATTGTCGATTAAGTAAACAACGAAAAGGAAATATATTTTTTAAATTAATTAGTGATTGGCGTGTTGTTGATGATGGTGACCATGGCCACCAAAGAAAACCAGTTGTTGTTGCTGCTGTTGTTGTGGTTGTTATCGTCGTCGTTGTCGTCGAAATTGTTGTTGTCACTTGAATTAATTCTTCACTCGATGCATCTAATAATACATTTAATAATTAGATTAGATTCATAGTTTAATTTCATACCTGGATCTTTTAAACAATTCCAATTATCAATAGGAAAATAACCTCTTGGACAAATACATATATTATTTAAACACATTGCATCTGATGTATGACAATTCTGATTTGTTCTACATTTTCCACCTAATAAACTTTTATAACCAGCTAAGCTTGCTGTTAAATCTGAATTTGTATCTAATTTTGAATGTATATATATATGTGCATAAATAATACATGAGATTGAATAGTTAGTTAGTTACCTTCAATACAAGTATAAGAATCAACTGATATATAACCATTAATACATGAACATTTTCCATTATAACAATGTGATTGAGATACTAATCGTCGACAATAATAATCATTTGTACATGTATTGCCTAATTTACCTAAGGATTTAACAATTTCATTATTTGGTAGAGTGACTGTTGATGCTGTTGTAGAAAGAGTAGAAATAAGAGTTGAACTTTCTATGATCGGTGCATCTTAATATATAATCTAATCGAAAACCAGTGTAACATAATTTGAAAAACTTTTTACCTTGTCCACGAATATTATAACACAAATATTTTCCTAATGGAACATAGCCTTCTAAACAAACGCATGTTCCACGAAAACATTCAAGTTGAACAGTAGTATGTTGACAATTCTTATTTGTCAAACACATTGAACCATAACCAGGAGGTTCTTCTATTTCAGATGTTTTTACTACTTGTGTATTTGATGATAATTGTTCTATATTCAATAATATTTTTTACTGAAAAATTCACAAATAACAAAAAAAATCTAACCAAAATCTCGAATACATCGATAAGCATCAATTGGTATATGACCAGATGAACATTGACATCGATTTAATAAACATAGTTTTGTTCCATCAACTGGTGTTCGACGACATTCATCATTTGATTCACATTCTTCACCTAACATTTGAACTCCTAAATTCTCAAAAACAAATTCAAAATAAAAGAAAATGAAAAGAAAATACACAAACTTAAATTGCTTTTACCAAAATTAATTTGTCGACGATGACGCATAATGGATATACATCGAAAAATTCCATCAGATTTATATCCGAATTGACATACGCATTTATTATTAAAACACATTGAATTTGGTACAAGACCAGCACAATTTTCATTTTTTTTACATTTATAACCTAGTGCACTATCATAATAAATCGTTTTTGCAACAATAAAATCGATCATAAATAAGAAAATAAACCACATATTTTCAATCTATAATAGACGATTAAATAAATAAAGATCATAATCTTAGAAAATGAAGTTAACATTCACATCGATTAATTAATCTTACTCTTGATAAATACATCAGACAAAACTCTATATATGTATGTATAAACTTGTAGCAGAATTTTGCTTATCAATGACAGACAAAAAAATAGACTGGTACCATCTGTTTCATCCTCACAAGTGCAAAGAAAAAGAAGAAAAGACAAAAAAAAAAAAACGAATAATTATTCTCAAGTAGTGTGATGTAAAATTCAAACAATAACTTAAGTAATGAGTTGAACGTGATCAAAAACAAAAGATTAGTTTTTATACCCTATTACTTTCTTTTATATTAAAATCACGTTCAGCTTTTAAAATAATATAAAATTTCTTCACACAGTCATTTTGAAAGATGAAACAAACAAATTACAATGAAAAGAATATTTAACATCGTCGTTTACTTTCATACTGATTGAGGAAAGAGTATTCGCCTTTTTTTTTTTGTCTATTGTATAAAGAACGGTGACAATACATGAAGGATGTTTCAAAAGTTCGAAAGAAAGAAAGCATGAATAATTTCTCAGTAATGCATGGAATTTAAATCTTTGCATTAACAGTTTGATGACACATTCATTAAAATTCTTAGATAAAATGTCTGTGTCTACAGAAGTCACAAGTAAAATAGTCTTAGTAATAGCCAAGTTCGAGTTAGCTACCATTCTTAAACGAAATTTGCAAGTCAAATTTGATAATAACGCGCCAACTGAATCTTGTATTAGAATTACATTTCAGCGATTCTATGAAACTAGTACCGTCGAAAATCAATCATGTTATAGAAGACGTACAGTGATGACTCAAGAAAAAGTGAATGATGTTAAAAATGCTTATAAAAATGAACTGGGATCAAGTATTCGGTCTATTGTACAAATGTGTACTGATTATGACAAACAATAGCATACCTGATAATGACAGAACGTCTATTATTAAAGCCATATAAGGTACAATTTATTCACTAGTTCTATGAAAATAAGTTACATAAACCGAAAATTGGCTCATTTCTATAAGTGTCATTAACTTAATCGGTTTTATTTCAGTAACTACTCTATGGTCTTCAAGAACGTCATCAATTTTCTACACTACTAGTTTCGTAAAATCGCTGGAATGCTTTGTTAATGCAATGATTAGTTGATGTGGTTTTTGCAAATTCAATTAGTAGTTACGGTTTTACAATGCTGGCTTATCCAAATTTGATCATGACTAGAACTATTTTAATAGGGAACTTTTTTTAGCTACAGACACTTAATCTGAAATGTATTGAAGAAAATTTTAAAAAGAATATTTAAATCTCTTGAATTGCTGAGGAGTATTCACTTTTTTTTTTGTTCGAACTTTTGGAACACCGTCTATATACAAGATATTGAATATAAAGTTTTTCTATCTGAACGAATAAAGTTTATCAAGTTTCGTGTCCAAACAAAAGTAAAATTACTGTAATAATAGAGCTATTCGCTGATAAACGATTTATTAAATGTATTCTGAGTACATTACATCAGTAGAGAAATGGATATGAACAAAATTGCTTAATACTACATTATAAAAGAATATCAATTAATACTTGTATTTTTTTATTTAATTATGTTGTCTTCTGTCAACTCTAAGTAACGAATAAAGCATCTTTATTTTATTCACACAACATTATTTGTATTATATGAAAATAGTAATATTTAAAAAGAACTTTTTGATTACATTTCTAAATTGAGTTTAATATTTTTGTATCTAAAAAAAGACTTTATTCATTTTATTTCATAGTGTAATCACGTTTTATGTATCATTTGTAACACAGAACAAAACAAATATTGATTCATTTTTTCATACTTCATTCTACTGGTTACCACTGATAATACAACACTGCATGACTTTTAACATAGATACCAAGGTCAATAAGAATAAATATCTTTATTTATGTATGTGTCCATACATTACGACAGAAATAGAAATCAAAAGAATATTACTTGAACTCCAATCATTGTTATGTTGTCATTTTCTTTCAAGTTTTTTTTTTCTTTCTTTCTTTTATCTTTTTAAAATTTTCTATCGCAGTCAAACTATGACTAATGTTTGTTCTGTGAAAAATAAAAAAAAGAAATGAGAGAACGCGAAGATCAACCTATCTACCCTTATATAAACGAGTATGTTTTATGTTCATTTCATTATTTTGACAGTATTCTCAACATTACAAAAAGTTTTCATTTCAATTTATATTTTCTGTATTAAAATGGGTAAAAGTCATTCAAAAGATGTATTTACTCAATGGGACTTAGATCGATTCAGTAATATTACTGGTAAACAGCATCTTCATTGATTAGTATTTCTCTGTTGAATTAGATCATTTTTAGGTATTCCTCGTGCTACGGTTGAAAAACTCTATCAAGAGTTTGTTACTTCGACTGGTAAAAGTAATCGAATGGACAAGAAAGAATTTCGTCGTTTATATAAAGAATTATATTTAAGTGCACAACCTGGTCCAAATGTTCCAGTAGTTCTTACCGAACATGATTTAGATAAATTATCCGATCGAGTTTTTAAAGCTTTTGATGGGGAAGGAAATGGTATGATTGTTATTTGTTTTTTTTTTTTTATTGATCTTATTGTTATCGCTTGTTTTTTAGGCAAATTGACTTTTGAAGGTAATTTTATTTATTATAGTTAAAAATAGATTTTAAACTTATATAAAATAGAATTCGTCAATGTATATTTATTATTAAGTCGAAATGGACAGTCAAATACAGCTGTAACAGCTCGTGATCGTTTAAACTATATTTTAGATCATAATAATCCAACACCAGGTCAGCATTAAATATTGCTTCAGTTTTCTTATGTATTTATTTTTATTTTTTCAGGTTACATTTCACGAGAACAAGGTGAGCAAGTATTTAATCAGCTGAATCGATATTATAAGTTAGTATTTTTCTTTCTATATGAAATTTGAATAGACTTGTTTTTTTTTCAATTTCAGTTGGGAAGATACAAAAAATACAACTTCAACAACAACTATACCATCTGATCAAACAAAACCAGTTACAACTACTTGGGAACAACACTGGAGTAAACTCGATGATGGTAGTGGTCGGTTAGTTTTATTTTATTCCTTATATATTTTTTATTTATTTATTTTATGTTTTATTATTTCAGTGTTCCACAAGAAAAATTTGTTGAATATATCACAACTTCGAATGATTACAAAAATAATATCGATCGTATTTAAGTTTTGCAATGCAATGACAATGAATGAACTCTCTGATACGTTTTTTTCTTCATTTTCTGTTCTTCACTGATGCGTCTTCTTTTTTTTGTCTCTGTGATTGTTCATCGAATGTATACTAACGATTTTCACAAATAGTTTTTTTTCTTGTTGATTACTTTTTTTTTTTTTTTATGAAACACAAGCCTTAATGAGCAGTACAATAAATAAAGCGAATGAATTTACGCACAAATTCTTATATGAAAGAAGGAAAAAAAAAGTTTTTTTTGCACTCCAAATATAAAAAATGTACAAAAAGAACAAACAACGTTTACTAAAGACAAAAAGTGAGATGTATGCTTCGTTATAATATGTCATTGAAAGACTTTATATCATCGTGGAAGTATATAATCGTCATTTCTACGATTAAGAAACAAAAAAAGATCTATTTTGCTGTTTCATCACAGGCAAAACAGTACAATCGATTATCTTGAATAAACTTCAGGTGCAAAGGGAAAAACGTGACTGGACACGTGTTACAAGTTTAAAATAGTTGTTCTCTGTATGTTGTAATATCTGATAATGAATTCGAGTTATTCACATGTTGAATGAATTAAAGCATGGTGCAAAAATATTATGATACAAATTATGATTAGCATGGTTCATTAATAAATGTTGAAATAAAAACAAAAAACATTCAAATCATAATTGCTAATGTGTCGACCAAATCTTCTAATTTAGCCATGAGAATCCTGGTTTTCAGACTTTTTCTTCTGATTATAAATGTCCTGAGTCCACAAACTGGATTTCTAACATTTTCTTTTGATTTTTTTCTCATCTTGAATTTTAGCGACATTTTGAATTATTAAGACAATACAAGCAAAAGAAAAGAAAAAGAGAAGTATTACATTGATATATAGATGCAAATCATTGATGAACTTATCTTCATGATGGTGAAAGCATATCTAATTTATAAACACTGGTTCAATAAGCTTTTTCTATATCATCCTCGAATATCTTTTGCTAATCTATTTTCAGCCACACGGGGTTTTTTTTTTTGGAACAATGATCGAAATATCAGGAAGCTCGACTTTGTAGGTACAGAATTAAAAATTAAAATGAATACTCAACATATTCAAAAAATGGTATGAATGGTATAATTAAAAAGCTATTCCTCATATATGCTCACTATGTTTAGGTTCATATCAGTTCCTTAGTAAACTTTATTTTCGTATTTCATTTGTCAATTTTTATGAATAGCTGTGATATGATTAGTTATATTGAACACATATGATTATTTTTTTTTTTATATAAATCCCGAAAAAAATTTGTCCATCCCCCAATTGGAAAAAGAAGTTATCTATCGTTTACATGAATTTAAATTTCAGTTTTCTTCGAAAAGACAGGTGAATGGCTTTCTTGACTTCGATAAAAATCTCCCATTATTTCTCCAGGTTTTTCAGTCATGATCTTCTATCAACTCCTGATATTTGTCAAGCAACTCATATTTTTTACGATTTGGATTTGATAGCCCTGACAACTGACTATGAAATTTAATATGAGGAAAAATTTTATTCGCCTCAATACATTAATAAAACTGGTTTCCTATCATCATCAATAAGTACTTTTAATAATTCTCACAGATTTCTCTGATATTCATCATTACTTTCGTAAATATGGCTAGTCGTTATATAGTTAATTAACATTACAACTATAGACTAATATTTGCTAATCGCTTCGATTTGTATGAAAGAAAATTTGATTGAAAGTTGCTTCAAATATGTTATTCAGGAAGATTAATAGAACTCTGTTTTGTCCTTGATCTGTCTTCCAATGTGACAAAAAAAAAAAACGATAGCAAAAATGCATGTGCACAAAATCTAAATTATTTCAAAAGTCTTGTTGTTTGACTTATGATGTCAACGAATCCGATATGTTATAATTGATAAGAGAAGTTGTTTAGAAACGTGTCAATATCATTGTTGATTCTAATTGCACATATAATTTTTGTTTGAAAATGCTCTTTTCCAGAATAATATATTGTCATATGAAAAATATTGATTGATGACTTTAATTAATAGTTTGCTTGTGACATTCATCTTGAGTTATCGTGTTGTTGATGAAGATGTAGAAAAAATGATTCATATAGAATGATCATTAGAACTTATTTTATCAAGATTTATCAGATTTATCTTTTGATCATTACATAACTGCTTTTGAAGATAACTTTACTCGAAAATAATGAGTTTCCTCCCACTATTTCTGTTTGATGTTAAAATAAACACTAGCATTTAAGAACAATCCTTGAGAGATGACTGTCTATTTGAATGATGTCGCCAGATACGTTATTGAACATTTTTATATGCTTCATTTGATCATTCAAATAATCATTGATACAATGCAATAAGAATGATCTTTTCTTTCTTCCGGTCTATTTGTTATATGTATGGTTTATTTGTCTCTTCGGTAACAATCAATGGGTCAAATCTGTTCTTCGTTATCTATTCTCTATTAAGCGAACAATGTTGTATCATCATAACCTTTTCATTAATCATAATAATATGATAGATCTTTATTGACTACTTCATTTTGTTAATTATCTTTACGGATTTTTTAAATTAACCAAATACAACTATTATTGAATATTCTGTCAAATTCCTCGCTACATCTGTTAATATATATTTCTATCTTTATCTTTTCTCCTTAGGTAAACACATGGATTGATCGTTGTTCATTCATATTTGTTAGAGGCAGCTGTCGTCTCTTTCTTTTTTTTTTTCTTCTGACTCTGATTGCTTACTATGAGAATAAGGGAAAGTTATATACGCTTATTCTTTGGTTTCTCGCGTTTTTTGATTGAATACAGACGCAGCGGGACAATAAGTATATGTACGTTTCTATGATGCAATCTTTAATATTGAATCTTCGACGATGGAGTTTATTTTAAACAAGGTCATAATAACATAATAAGAAGTGCTGTTCTTTCTAATGGGATACAAAGAAACCATGTATATATATATGTGTATATATATGTATATGTATATATATATATGTATATGAGCTGACCTACAACAAAAGCAGAAGCAATCACACATTTTAGACACTCCATGATCAATGAGTTCTTTTTTTCTTTCTGATAAGATATGTTCGAGATCGTTAACTTGGCATCTGTCTCCCCACCTTTTTCTTCTCTGTCCTTTCTTTCTCTTAACTACACCACCATGATCATACAATCGTCTCATTTTTTTTCTTTTTTCTCTCCTTCGTGTATGATTGACCGATGAACAATATGTCGAGCTAGGTCGTTGAACTACGTTTACTAGACTCATTGATCGCGTCATTGTTTCGTCGTTTTTCTTTAGATTATTATTGTTATTGTCGGAGTGTATGTCTCGGATCCATTAGTACATGGCACATTATTTATGGCGACGTCTCGATTTATTCGATTTTTTAGTCGTCGTCAAACAAAAACTCAAGCCACAATATTAAATGATGATAATAATAATCATCATTCAAAATCAAAATTTCTTTTTAATGCAAGAACTCATTTAATTGAAAAACCTCAATCAATAATACCAATTAAAAATGGTCTTGTTTGTACTGTTGTGTTTCTCGATGGTGAAGATGTGAATTTTGAAGTAGATGTAAGTTATTAATATGAATCTCTACAGTAATAACATGATATTCAAAGGTTCAGTATATTATGAACTCAATAGCATCAATTTTCGATTAATAGGTTTATCAAATTGTAGATTGACCTGTCCAGACATATTGTCATATGCATGTATAAGCTTGTATCAGCTGTTACATTTTATTTAGCATTGATCAAACTTTATTTGTTCAGTCTAAGCATATACTTTTATTCATGGCATCACTAGAAGTAATCTTGTATACTCTATTGTCATGTTGAATAAAGAAATAAAGAATGAGATGATCAAATAGACTTCTATACGTGCAAAGAAATGAATCGATTTCGTGACAAAAAAAAATGTTCTCATAAAAGGTGGGAATGAAACAAATGATAAGTGTATATATGATATTTAGTTTAAAGAAAAAAAATATGACATGTTTTTTTTTTTTTGTTAAGAAAAAAGAGTATTATCAAACATTATTTCATCTATTGTATTGTGTTCATTTATCTATTTAATATAGAATGATCAATGATTTATATTTTTTCTATTTTGTTTTTTATTATCTAGCGTAAAGCTCTTGGTAAAAGTCTTTATGATAAAGTAATTGCTCATACAAAACTTGTTGAATCTGATTACTTTGGTCTTCAATTTACTGATACACATAATGTTAAAGTAGGTTATATAAGTTTTTCTTTGCTATGTTTATTATTTGTTTTTCATTAGCAATGGCTTGATTCAACTAAATCAATTAAAAAACAATGTAAAAGTAAATAGAAATTAGAATTAAAAGATGAAAAAAAAAACACAAAAGAAAATTGAAATTAATGTTCTTCTAGTTGGACCACCATATACATTTCGATTTCGTGTAAAATTTTATACATCAGATCCAATAAATCTTCATGATGAATTAACCAGGTGAGAAAAGAATATTTATTCTTTGTTATAATTAGTTCTTCTTGTTTTCTTTTTTCATTCAATGAAGATATTTGTTTGTACTTCAACTTAAAGATGATATTCATACGGGTAAATTAGATTGTCCATCTGGTACAGATGTTGAATTGGCTGCATTGTCTATGCAAGGTAAATAGAATTTTTTAATTAATTTCAAATAATTTTGTTTTCTTTATAATAAAAAAAAAAACCATTCAATAAGCATTTTTCTACAACACAAGGTGAAATTTCTTCGACTTGAAATTTTACGAACAATGCTGAATAGAAATTCCGACTTGAAATCATAAGTGCAATTAAGGATGAAGCAATGAGTCGAACTAATGTCACTCATATTTGATGAGGTAGAAAACTATTTACTATGCAAACCTATAGTTTTGACAAAATGAGTTGATTAATGGTTATGACATAATGATGAAAAAAAAATTTGCTGTAATTCATTCT